TATATATATATATATATATATAATAAATGTATTGCTAATAATAATGGGCTTTCATCCCCAAAGCTGTGGTTCTTTTTTGTTTACCTCATAAGTGGACATGCAACTATTCTTTATTTATATCTTTAAAACTTAGATAGAAATATTTGAATGGAAAAACTGCATATCATTTAAGTTTATGTTATGCTTAGCCCACAGTTATAAAAAGACTGGTAGGTTAACAACAATATCCAAACACTAAAAAAATAGTGGATATAATATAGTTTACAATGCTTTGATTCGTCTTGAAGATGATTTAATTTGATTCATATAGAATTATATTTTAATAGCTATTTTATACATTCTCCATAATAAAAAGTCTTATATCTCCTGTTTTAGTCGATGTAGCATTCATTTATTTCTGTTGCTTGCATTTAATTTCTCTTGTATTTTAATTATTGTAATTACCTAGTGGGATATTAATTTTCTACAACTGTGATCTCTTTGCAAAGCTTAGCTGAATTCTTTACTATTAGCAAACAGAGAATTCATTTGAATAATTATGGAGTTTATAAGCAATCTGTGACAGCCAAAACATGTTTAAATACTAAAATGGCATCATCTAAGTGAAAACATAATATAAAGGCTAGAGAATACATGAAATAAAAATTCACTAATGTTGATTAACAAGAGGAATGGGAAAATATTTTATTATGAAAAATTCAGGTATTTAGTTTTTAAACTGTAAATATTTCATTGCTATTTTCAAAGGCTCAGTTATAAAATTTGAATACAATGTTAATAAAAATACTATACTGATGTATCTTTGTTTTCATTTTTTTCTGATTTCTAACCTTTTATTTTTTTTTTAATTTATTTATTATACTTTAAGTTCTGGGGTACATGTGCAGATCATGCAGGTTTGTTACATAGGTATACACCTGCCATGGTGGTGGTTTGCTGCATTCATTGCCCTGTCATCTACATTAGAGATTTCTCCTAATGCTATCCCTCCCCAATCCCCCCACCTGCTGCTATTCCTCCCCTAGTCCCCACCCCCCAGGCCTCAGTATGTGATGTTCTCCTCCCTGTCTGTGTGTTCTTATTGTTCAACACTCACTTATGAGTGAGAATATGTGGTGTTTGTTTTTCTGTTTTTGTGTCAGTTTTCTGAGAATGATGATTTTTCAGTTTCATCCATGTCCCTGCAAAGGACATGAACTCAGACTTTTTATGGCTACATAGTATTCCATGGTGTATATGTGCCACATTTTCTTTATCTGGTCTATCATTGATGGGCATTTGGGTTGGTTCCAATAGCAAAGACTTGTTTTTACTTTTGAACATATTATTAGAGAGTTTTAGTAATCAAGGAACTATTTAGGATGATGAAGTACAGTATTCCCTGTTTAGCTAGAGATCTGAACTATGAAGCGAGCTATTGAAATAAATTTACTGAAAGATCACATTAATGTCCTACAAATCAATAATAAAAAGAATACATATAAGTTTATAGTTCTTAAAATTATTTTAAGAAAAAACTTGAAAATTTTATTTGAGGCAATCCTTTTCTAAAAATTTAAACTAATGCTAGAAAATACATTTTCATGAGAATGAGACTTCTCGGCACAATATATACTTAGAGATTTGTTGCAAAATAAATAGTATAGACAAAAGTATTGAATGATATATACGTTTACAGAGAGTCAGTTTGCAGAAATTTCAGACTACATAGAAGAAACATCCATGAAATTATTTTAAAATTTACTATTAGGCATTCATGTACTGTAGCACAATTTTATTATGCAGTGGATACAACGTTAAGCTTGCATTTAGTCCAAGGACTTCTGAAATGACTTTGAGGATATGTGTTAAAAAAATTTGCTTAACTTGATAAAGATCTGAATTTCATCTCACTTTCTCGAAGTCTGATGCATAATTATCAAAATGAATTACCAAAGTAAAAGTTTGCCTAGGCCTTTTCTTTCTGATATGTGATTAGATTAATTTTTCAGAGATCTGGGGAGCATTCTGATCGTCAGGAACAACATTTTGACTTCTTACATTTGTAAATATTCCCTTTGTCAGTCTAATAAGGTCACAATGCCCAAATGGTCATGGCTTTAAAACTTTTTATGTTTCACCATTATGAATTAGGCCCAAATCCAAATGGTAAGTAGTAGCAGATGAGATTGGGAACAGAGAGGGAACCAGTCATGGAAAGTTTGTTATACTCTACCAAATAGATTGGATACTTTTTTCTAATAGGTGACAGGAAGCTTTTGAATGATTTTAAGAAAGCAAGTGATTGGATCAGATGTATGGTTTGGAAGCTCATTCAATGGGACTATCAAGTAGCTGTTTTCATCTCTGTTTTCACTATACTATATCTGATGGATAGCCATTTAGCCTTAGATAAAACATTTTTTTTTAATGCAAGACTAGTACAAAGATAAAAAGAAGCTTCTGGTTTTATTTGCATTTCCCAAGGTTTAGTAATAATTCCACCTTTTCTACAGCTAATTATTAATCCTCTAGCATCCAATAGGATAGTTGAGAATTGCTGACATACTGGAGGCAGAAGGGTTAGATGTGGTAGGGAACTAAGAAAGTTTATTCTTAACTGAAAAAAAAATCTGTAATTATTTATCCCAGTTAAGTTCATGACTCTAAGGTCTGAACTGTACAATGAATAAACTATGCACTAATTTCTGAGCCTAGAAATCTGAAATCTGAACAGTTTTCTAGTTAGTAACACCTACTGGACTGGATGTTGCAATGTGTTTCTACTAATATTGTAAACATCATAATAGAGAGTAAGAAATCTGAGATTCATGAAAATAGTCAAGAGTGTAGGAGAAAGAAGCAATTTTCTTGACATTCCTCATGTTTAAGGAGAACACTTTTCTAAGGTGGGTTTAGCAACTCTTATTAACCATGGTACCACTCTACCAGTGGGCAGCAATAAAAGTTGTCACCTTAACCCCTTATCAGTCTTTAATTTTTAATTAATTAGAATATATTTGAGATAAATTTTTAGCAATTATTTTTCATATTAAATACTAATGTTTTTGGCTAAAAAATATATGTTTAGAA